CTCAACACGTGCTACCAGCGTCAATTGACTCCCGCTGTCACAACACACTAACGAATCTTCTAGAATATTCGTCACGTGACCCCGCTGTCGTAACACACTAGCGAATCTTCTATAATACTCGTCACGTGACCCCCACTGTCATAACAATATGAATAATAATTTTGTGTTGTTATTGTACTTTGAACAAATCTTATGCACTTTAATTAGTATTCAGCCATGGAATTAGATACAGAAAAATTTTTAGTAACTCTGTGTAGTCAGTTTTAATTGATAGTATTGACATATTTTCAAACATTTTTATGTATCACAATAATAGGTTTTTGGATTTACTTTATATAGACTTGGCTTTGATAAGTATATAGATAAAAGTTAAAAGTTCAGAAAGAAAATTTAAATGTTTATGTTAACATTTGACTATCAAAAGTGTGGTGCTTTATTTTTATTTTTCTGTTTAGTGCTACTATTGCTACAAGAACAAACAGTGCTTGTTTGTTACCTATGAAGATCTTGTGTCTCATTTGGAAGAATGTGGAACACTTGAAAATATAGCATGGGGCACTTGTATAAGTAAGTTAAATTTTAATATATTTTATAAGATCTTAACAAAATAGTTTGTAAATTGATGATGTTATTTTCTTATTATTGCTTATAATTTTTTGTTTTATTTCAACAAGTTAACTTTGAAGCACTGGTCATCTCCATGAGTGTATTAGGAGGAATCATCTTTTTGGGCATAGCAATAAGTTGTTGCTGCTGCTGTCGTTTTTGTCACATACGAAATAAAGAGAAGCTTCAAGCTGAGCTTGCAAAATGGAATAGACAACGAGAAAATCTCAAAGTTAAAGCTGAGGAAAGGTAAAAAAATTTGCATGTGTATTTCATGTGAATCATTGTTTCAGTGAGTGTTTGAAAATAAATTGTCATAAAGTGTGTACTAACCTACATAGAATACTTGGTATACAGAAAATATACTGCATAAGCTAAGAACTAGCTAGTGAAATGGATAAACATATGTTAGCCAATAAAGAAAAATATGTAATTAATATACCAAAATATTATTTTTAATAATTAGCTTGAATGTTTGTTTCTTAATTGCATGAGATTTCTTATTATATAACATCAGAAATATTGTATCATAAATTTACCAATATTTTGGATAACCAAATTCAAGTGAATATCTTGCATGAACATGTTATTCATTTGTATAACATGTAAATTAAAATATTCTAAGCATTGTTCTGACAATGACATTCATCATCATACATCTGCAGTTGCTGTGGTCCATCTATATATATATATATATATATATATATATACAATAAATTAGTCTTGTGTGAAAAAGACAGACTTTCACCAGCCCTAATACTTACATTATCATCTTAAAGCTGTTGTGAAAAATATTTACTAAATTTTATATTATAATTATCATATAAAAATGGTTCAATGTTTGTTACACTTAATAAGACAATATTAGTTTATTTCCTCTTTTAAACATTTCTACAAGCTTAAATAACTTTTAAACTGTCATAAGTTAATTGTTTAGACCTACATTTACAAACGACATTATAACTCTCTAAAAACAGGACTAGGATACCTACAGTATTGCCAGAAACTTCAAGAAAATTTGTTTTGTAATTATTCTTTTGAGGTGTACAGGTTCAAAATCTCCAACAATACCTTTCTAGCAGTACGTATGTATTCTGAGCAAATAGTGAATAGAACAATAATTGTTTCTTTTTGAGCTTTCTTGCTTGTAAATTCTCTAAATAAGATGTTTGACTTTGTCATTTTTTGATAATTTTAAATTTGTTGTTCATTACTGCCTTTCTAACACAGGAGGGAAAAACGTAAGCAAAAGTTAGATGAGATTCGTGAGAAATATGGTAAGATTCCTTAGTTATTTCTGTTTGTTACTGCAAATTTTAATGTAAAAATGCTGAAAAGTACTAGTATCATCATACTGAATTTATAATGATGACATTTAAACTTCAGCATTAATTTTTGGACCATTTAATTTTCAGTTTTTACTTCAGGAATATACTTTATTTTTAAATATTTATTTTCATAGTATTCTCTCAACATAAATTATAAAATATTGTGTTGTTTAAGAACATCTTAGTTTGAAGCTATTGTAGCCAAAAGGTAAAAATGTACAATATGTTTTTCATATTCTTTCAAACTTTAGACCTATATATTATTATGCATTCTTTAGTTAATCAATGTTCATAGATATGCATTTCATTGCCATATTTCTAAATATATTTATTAAAATGCCAAAGATTATTAATCAATAACCATAACAGTCTATTATTTTTTGTTTCCTACAAGATCTTGATAACAAGAATAGCATAGAAATATATTGGTTTTATGATATTTAATAAAAACATGATGCTTACTGCTAATTTATATCAAGATTTTTAACAGAGTTATGCATTATTTGCTTCATGTACATTATATTAAAGATCAAGTTCTTGTGTATGGCATTCCTTAAATATAGCTTTACATAATATGTATACATATATATACACATATATATAAACTATTTCTTTGAATGCATAGTGAATAGGTGCCATTAATAATTTATTGAAATGCAGATGTATAGAAATGTCTTTTTTCTTCTTTTTGAAACATCTAATTCTTACCATTTTAGGTATTTCTAATTATAATATATGTTTCACAAAAATTACTTGTCATTTAGTTTCAAAAGTTAATTTCTATAACATACAGTTGGTGTGCTAATTAATTTAGTAATAGTAAACTAAATAAAGAATAAATATTTATTAATCACAAAATACGTAATTTTAAAATTGAAAATTTAATTTTCGTGATAGTAAGATATATATATATCATACTTTTTTTTTTTACTAGGACTACCAAAAGAAAATCCAGCTTACAAAAGGTTTGATGAAAGTGCAGAACCAAATATGGCAGACTTCAAAACATAATATATAATTATGATTTAATTTATTTTTCATACAGTAATTTTGGAAGAATAATGAATGCCAGAACATTTCAACATTCGTTTAAAAATGTATAAATAGAATTTAAGGTATACACATGTATATGCATACAGCGTAAGTGTTTTCTGCTGATGTACTACTTTTCAGTATGTTCTATCATGTGTACATTGTGTCTCTATTTTATCTTCTCACTAATTTAATAAAAAATTGAGCATTTTATGAAGAGAAAGTCTGCTTTTAAGTAGTTACTAAATCAGAATATCTGGACTGTTGAAATATAGTACTCTATACTTGACTTTTTAATTGTCATTGTTCAGGTATTTATTCATAGCAGTTATTTTGTTTTCAAAGTGCTGTAGTTTCCTGTGCCCCAAAAGTGCACGTAATTTTTCATGTATTTACACATCTGTATCATAGCACTTTATGAATTTGAAGCATATGCTATTTTTCGAAAAACATTTTTTTTTAAATAATGATCATGGTTTAAGACCCAAAAATGTATAGTTTATATTTTTTACAAAACTTGTTATGATCAATACTTCACTATGAAACAAGTGCCTTAATTTATATTATCAGTTAATGAATTTATATACTGTTTTATCATAAACTGTTTGAGCCATACATTATGTGATAAATATGCTGTAACAAAATAAATATGTCATAGAATAGGAATAAAAAGCATAATTTATTTTCTCGTATTTCTTTGGATCAATTTATTTAACATTTTTTTCAAGGCAACTAGTATACCAGAAAACTAGGGATTTGAGGTAGTGACTTCTACCTGTGGTATTCTCGGTAATACAATGAACACCACTGACCTAGTAAAGAGGAAATTAGGATACATAGGATGAAATTAAAAACAAAATTTTAAGATGAATTTCAATGAAATTTAAACACAAACCAACATTTATTTATGCTATTGGTTAATCTGATGCAATTATATACAAAATTCATACTATTGCGTCAGCGAAGTCACATGACTAGTGTCACGCCACGTTTCTAGAACTGTCCTGTACCTTGGTGAATGCCCTAGCATTTACTAGATATAGGGTAGGCTGGTATATAAAAGATGGTCACAACGTGATGGAATAATGTGTGTGTAGACAGTGAGTAATTGATCTGCAGTCAGAGAGTATTATTGAGCACGTTCGTTGTTATAGCGTTTGTTTTAGCGCGATTGTTGAAGTTGGGTGTATCGGTAAAGTTATATTCGGAAAGAATAAACCAGTTTTATTAAGTAAGGACTTGTGTCGTTAAAGTTTCGTCGGAACGAATTTACGGAAAATCAATTAACAAACGGAGATGTAACAAATTGGTGTCAGAGAGTGGGATAGAAAAAAAAAGAGGGAAGAAAAATGGAAACGAGAGGCGGAAAATCAAACTACAGCTTAGCAGACTTGATGGCAGCAATACAAAAACAAGAAAAGAAACAAGAAGAACGAGAAGAGAAATTACAGCAGTTGTTTGAGGAAAAAGAAAAGAAACAAGAAGAACGAGAAGAGAAATTACAGCAGTTGTTTGAGGAAAAGGAAAAGAAACAAGAAGAGAGACAACAGCAGTTGCAAGAAAACATGCAACAGTGGCAGCTCGAACAACAAAATAAACAAGAGAAATTACAGCAGTTGTTGGAGGAAAAAGAAAAGAAACAAGAAGAGAGACAACAGAAGTTGCAAGAAAACATGCAACAGTGGCAGCTCGAACAACAAAATAAACAAGAGAAATTACAGCAGTTGTTGGAGGAAAAAGAAAAGAAACAAGAAGAGAGACAACAGCAGTTGCAAGAAAACATGCAACAGTGGCAGCTCGAACAACAAAATAAACAAGAGAAAATACAGCAGGTGTTGGAGGGAAAAGAAAAGAAACAAGAAGAGAGACAACAGCAGTTGCAAGAAAACATGCAACAGTGGCAGCTCGAACAACAAAATA